CAGTTTAATTTTCGAACCTATATTCGTTAACACTAGATTTATAATTCGTAGTTCTTTTCATAGTACAGTCATTTAAGCTTAAATTAGGTAAGAATCTCGGAATTCGAGATACTCAGCTGTATGTCTGTAAATACTTGTATATTGACACCCTAAAGTTGTCTCAAAGCCTACATATGGTATTGACACCCTACTATATGTAGGTTTTGAGACAACTTTAGGGTGTCAATATACAAGTATTTACAGACTTACAACAGCTGGGTATCTCGAATTCCTAGGTGAATTTACTATAATGACTGGAATATCATCTAAAAACGTAGCATTGATTTGGTGCATGTAGCATTATTATAACACTAATATTAATAATACACAACCTTATAATGAATAATTCTATACTAAATTAAATATAATTTGAAGAACAAAAATTTACTCAATAACATTATTTAAGGTTAGTTTGAAAGAGATAACACGTATTTTTAGTTTAGTGCATTTGGTTTTACATTTGGATTTGATTTAGTGCATTTTTATTTAAGTGAAACTGTTTTCTAATTAACCAGTTAACTCTTTTGCGAATATACTCGTCAGAGCTTTATTTGGACAACATAAAACGCCACAGTTAACTAGTTAATTATTTTAAAATTATTAATATACTTGCGCGTTTAAATAGTTTTGAAAAATTAGTTACAACACACTAGTTACCTATAGGGATGACATACGGTAACAATGGTAACTAATTTTCTTAAATGAAATTTATGAGCTGACATTCTTGAAACTAAAATATTTACTTTCAATTATTTTAGGCTCTACCGTGGATTAGTGGATTGAGCTATGGAATTTTAATCAGAAGTCCTAGGTTCAATACTCGCCTCGTCAACATGAACCAGCTCTAATTTATGAGCTGGCTTTTAGATTTTTGCAAAAAAAGTAATAAGTAAAAATTTAATTTATTTTAGATTTTTTCATGGATTAGTCGTTAGAGCTATGGGATTGCGATCAGAGGCCCCAGATTCTATAACTATTGCGGGCATCTTGATGTCAAGCAGTAGTGACATTGATTTTCACTTGGAAATATTGGTAACAATTTATTTTCAAGCGAAAATAGTTCTTATACGGAAATGCTGCATCAACAGAAATTCATCACTATCACGGAAATTGTAATAATAAAATCATCACATTTAGTCCAGTCATTAGGTAAGAATCTCGGAATTCGAGATATCCAGCTGTATGTTTGTAAATACTTGTATATTGATACTAGAAAGTTGTCTCAAAACCTATATATGATAGGTACACCCTACCATATGTAGGTTTTGAGACAACTTTTTAGTGTGAATATACAAGTATTTACAGACTTACAGCTGGGTATTTCGAATTCCGAGGTGAACTTACTATAATGACTGGACTATATAGGACAACTGTTTAGATTGCCATATATAGAAATTGACGAAGTTAATCAAGTCAATTCACAACAACAGCTTATAGGACCCTTAAGTTATGATCGCTGTGCAAATATTTTTTTTGCTAATATCAGTAGAAAGTTTTACTAAAATTATTTATATCATTTATGTCTTCAATATCGAATTTATCTTTCTTATCAATTTTTAGATTTTTTGGAGCAGAATTAATCCAGCCTCGTGTATTTTTAGTACACCGTTAAGAGATGCCTGCTCGTGTTGTCAAAGAAATTTAAAGATCGCTCGTCGTTCCATGATGCCCATGAATATTCGTCTCTTATTAATCCATTTGAGCAAAAATTATTGGTGTTATGTAAATTAACGCATAACGGTGGCGCTTGCCAAACTCTGTTTTGAATTTTCGTAAATATGATCAATACTTTCTGATAAAACTTTATCCTTCGTATATATATGCATATGGATGTGCGTCATGTGATATTGTAACGCTCGGCAGACTTTCCCAATCTTCTTGAGTAAACGAAACCACAGATAGCGGACCGTAGTGAGGAATCAACCTTTAATCGAATATTTTATAGTTTTCCAGGTGCTGCAAATAATTGATAATTGATAATTGATAATTACTGTGATTGGTTATATTTTATATTAGGCAAATATTATTAGTTGTGTCCAGTTACGAGATACGCTTTATGTTACACCCAATTTAGTTGCTTTACTTACTTTTTTTTTTGAAAATTTTAGTTTTCCCGGAGCTGATATATTGTGGATCATTAATGTGACTAGATTTATAATTTAGTGTAATTTGTATAATTCAAATATTTTCATTTAGGTTTCTTCATGAGAAACGCTTTAGATTACGCCTAATCAATCTATTAAACCAGTTGGAATTACGATGTGTTGCAATTAAATCATATGCATTATTTTTATAATTCTATTATTATTTTTGTCTTTTCATTTATTTCTATTGTTTATAATTTCTTCTATTATTTATATTTTTTATGATTATTATTACTATTTTTATTGTTATTTATTATTTTTTAATGATATTATTATTATTGTTTTTCTTATTAATTATTATTATCGTTGTTATTAATTTTCCGTAAAAAAATCGAAGATGAAATTATTTGCGTGTTTTTACGTTTCAAAAGCTTCTGAAAATTTTGATATGCCTTAGAAAAAAATGGATGTATGTATGTATGTATGTATGTGGGTACACAATTTTCGTCGACGATTAGGAGAGCACGTATCAACCGCTTTGAATGATTCAAAAAACTAGTTAATTCTTAATTAGTTTTTGGCAAAAGCAGGTCCAGCCGTCCAGTAATTTTTCAAGAGAACGGAGCATCCGATTTCAATCATTCAAAAAACATATCACTTGTATTGATTGAATGAAAAATTAGTTAAGTTTTTGGGTAGGCAGGTCCAGCGGTTTGGAGAATCAATAAAAAATGTCATTTCATTGTCAAAAATTATCATTAGCATATGCGCATGAAATTATCAGATATTTTATAGAGATTTTAATAATAAGTACAAATTTTCTTTATATATCTATGGGTTCTATACCAATGTTTATCAGTTTGACTGCGACGCGGCGCTTACGCGCTTGGATATTTAACTTCCTATAGGGTAAGTTATAGTAGTCGCAAAAAAATCGAAAATGAAAATTTTAATATTTTCACGTTTCAGAGGTTTCTGAACATTTTGGTATACCTTAGAAAAAATGGATGTATATGTGTATGTATGTACACTATACGAATACAATTTTTCCAATTTCAATGATTCAAAAAAACATTCGATTTCTATTAATAAGGAGACGTGCTGATTAGTTTTTGGCGAAGACAGGTTTCGCCGTTTCAAAGATGGGGGGCAAAAAGTGCTAAAAATGGTGATTCAATTTTGAGAGAACAGAGAGGCCTATTTGTATGATTCAAAAAACATTTTATTTTCTTGACGAAATGAAAAACTGAAGAAATCTTTGGGAAGGCTGGTCTAGCGGTTTCGGAGATCCCATAACAAAAGGAAGAAAAAATTGCCATTTCGCAGACAAAAATGATCATTAGACATATGCACATCAAATTATCATATATTTATAGATATTGTAATAATAAGAACAAATTTTGTTTGCATTTCTATGGGTTCCGTACCAATATTTATCTGTTATACTGCGTTGCGGCGCCCACGCGCTTTGTTATTTTGTTTTTACACAGCTAACGTATCGCGATTGCTTTCAAAACAGTTCAGAATTTTCAAAATTTTTCAAAGTATAAAAAATTAAAATTTTACAAAAATGTAATATGTTTTCAAAAATTGTAAAAATCTCAAAAATCCATTTTTTTCAAAGTTTCTAAAAAATGAATTTCGTTTTAAAAACTTTAATTTTGGTACGGGAAGTTCCAGCAATTTGCCTTAATGCACAATGCCATGCACCACTAGTTTGTGTCAAAATCAGCTTTGCAGCAAGGTAGCTCTAAAAAAATTCAAAATATAAAAAAAAATATTTTTTTCCAAAATTACAAATTTCTCAAGAATCTATTATTTTCAGTTTCAAAAAAATGTTAGGGTTTTAAAAAATTCAAAAAATTTGATACGTAAAGTTCGTGTCTTTTTTATTAATTAGTTTTAAATTTATTTATTCTCTATTTTATAATAATTGTCATAATTGTTGTTATCAAATAGATATTATTATTATTACCGTGCAAAATTGTGTGTTTAATGTATCCTTGATCTCAACCCCTCTGGTCAATTGCGGCACCTGCTTTGAGAGGCACTTACGTCTAATATAGCGAAGGGCGAAGAAGGCGCATGCTCCGGCAGCGGTGACAGCGTGCGGAGACCCAAGTCCTGTGCTTCGCTAAGCACAAAAGTGCGCAAAGCAATCCTCGACGGGGAAAATGCCAAATGTGAGGTTACGCACGCTCACTATCAATATCCATTCCTGTTGGTTCAGTTTTTCGACTCCGGGTATCAGTTTGTTAGTTATTAATAAAACGACAATTGTTTACTGATATCGGTCTTAAAGTGTACCTTATGTCATAAGTGAAAATTCAATTACAAGTGCGCACTATTGTTTTCTAAGGAAATACACAGGCGATCTTATCAATTCAGCAATAATGAGTTGTGATATCAATGTTTGAATGAAACCTAAAATGTAAAAATATAAGCTCATATTTTTTCATAGTTAAATAAATTACTTGAATATTTTTTTAATTGTGTACATATGCAAATAGCATCCTGTAAAATGTAAGGCTGCCACGTTTATTTTTTATAACCACAGACTGTTTATATTAAACAGAATTTGAAAACAAGTCATCAACCATACGCTTGATCATCGTTGTTTTCTACTTTGAAAATTTTGTGTAACTGTTACTACGTATACATTCCAACTTTAAAATCAAAAGAAATGTGAAGAATTTCTTTTCCTCTGAAGACGATGTAAAACAACAAAAGTGCAATTACAAAGGATATCTACTATAACTCTGTATCCTAATGAAATCGATGCGAGACACGTGTTTTGCAAAGGATATTAAAAGCAATGGAAAGCAGTGACGAATATTGGATAGCTATGAATTCTCTGGTATGATAATTACAAACTAAATGCTTCATCGAGGAGCAATGCCTTTATTGCAACATGAGTTCTATTTTAATTCGCTTAAATCATTGGCTGGTTCGCACATCACGAAGAATGGTAAGAATTTAATTATAAAAAACATAAGTATACCCAGTGCTGGATATACAGTAGGGGCAGCCGGGGCTACTGCCCAGGGCGGCAAATTTTCGGGGACGGTAAAATTTGGATAGTGAAGAAAAATTCTATACAATAAATTAACTCATTTTCTTAATAACATTTTTTATTCAAGAAATATAATTAACAAAACATAATACGATTGCAATGCAAATTTAGGCAATTTTGCTAATAAAAAGTTTTGTAAACGAGCTGAAAGTTTAAGAAAAATATGCTCTTCAGATCTCAAGGACTTCCAAGCTTATAGCGCCAAAAAAATTAAACTAGTAACGCATGGCATTGTGCCTTAAGGTAAGTTACCGAAACTTTCCGTGCTGAAAATTACATTTTATAAAGAGCTTTAAAATTGTTTGAAAAATGACAAAAATTGAACTTAAAAAACCTTTTTTGATATTTTGATATTTTTCGAACATTATGAACTTTTATTTATTAAAATTGAATTTTATTTAAATGAAAACGATTCCTATTGATAACGAGACGTGCTGATTAGTTATTGACCAAGGCAGGTCCAACTTTTTCGAAAATACGGGCCGAAATGCCAAAAATGATCATTCAGTTTTTGAGAAACGGAACGACCAATATCGTTAAAAAAAATTATATGTATAGACAAAATGAAGAACTGCTTAAATTTGTGGGAGGCAATTCTAGCGGTTTCGGTGATCCAATAAAAAAATTCGAGATTTGAAAAAACATTTGGTGGTCAAAAGTGATCATTAGACACATGTACATTAAATTATCAGATATTTTAATAATAAGTGAAAATTTTGTTTACATTTCTATGGGTTCATTGTTTATTCGTTATACTTCGACGCGGCGCTTACGCGCTTCTATATTTTGACTCTACGCAGCCAAAGCCGCGCGATCGCTTTAAAAACAATATAAAAAAAACTCAAATTTTTCAAAAAAGTCAAAATTTTCAAAGTTTGCAAAATATTATTTTTTTAACTTTAATTTTCGGTACGGAAAGTTCCAGAAATTTACCTTAAGGCGCGATGCCAAGCACCACTCTTTATAGTGTGTAATGCGTAATGAATTTTAAATAAATTTTAAATGATTTTTTATATAAAAACTATTTAAGTAAAAATCCTGGGATGGGGCGGCATTTTTGTCAGTGCCCCAGGGCGCCAAATTTCTAAATTCGGCCCTGAGTATACCGTATTGTAAAAAATAAATAAATAGCTAAATGAGCGTTGGATGTTACTTTGTAATAAATAACGATAATTTCCCCAGGCGCTCGAACCGATATTCGTGCAACATCACCGCCGAGCGAGGAGTCGGACTTCAACCAGTGGCTGCACGCGATGCGCCTGGTTGCAAGCATGCCGGAAGGGGTCCCTCCTGAATTCAGGAAAAAGGTTATTACGATGTAAATTAATATTTTAACTAATATACTAATTATTTGTGCATTATTTTAGCTTTGGTTATCGTTGGCTGAGAAACATCTTCAGAGTAATAAAGTTGATTGGCCGCGAACGGAGAAGAGATGTTTTAGTGCGTTTAACAGAGAGGATGACGAAGAACTTGGAAACCAAATTGTCAAGGTAAAATCAATATTCTTAGTTTTACTAAATTTTCTATTATTAATTTATGATATATATTATTATTTTGTACAGGATTTGCACAGAACAGGTAGTTCTTTCTTTTCGGGACCAGACGGATCGCACAATCAAGCTATTCTGAAAAAAGTTTTAATAGGATATGCTCGTTATAACGAAAAAGTTGGTTACTGTCAGGTAAAGGTTTTATAAATAGTAAAGTAAATTTATATTTTAATAGTGCTTACTAATATATATTTTAGGGTTTTAATATGCTAGGCGCCTTCATGTTGCAAGTTATGGAAAGATCAGAGGTCGATTCGTTGAAGGTTCGGAAAATAGTTACATTTTTTTCATTTTCATTGCATAATTATTATGTCTGATTACTCTGTTTATGAGTATTTTCACTTATATCTTTATGCATTATTTCACCTTCATATTTGTTTCGATATTTCTAAGTTTATATTAAAAATTTTCAGGTTAGTTTGAATTTATTCTGTATTTTAGGTAATGATTTTTCTTATTGAGGAAGGCGTGATGCCTCCCAAGTATTTCAGTGGCACGTTAAGCGGATTGATAACAGATATGTCAGTTTTTCGAGAATTGCTCAGCTCTAGATTGCCAAAATTGTCTGCTCACTTGGATCGATTGCAAGGGACTGATGGAGAGAAGGTAGTATTAATTCTGATTTTTAGAATTCGTAAGTAACTTTTTTCTTCTTTGATGATAGGTTATTCGTTCGAGCCGCCTTTGACCAACGTTTTTACGATGCAGTGGTTTCTGACTCTCTTCTGCACGTGCCTACCTCATGCAACGGTTTTGCGCATATGGGATTTAATTTTTTTGGAAGGCAATGAGATACTTTTGCGCACAGCTTTGATGATCTGGGAACGTTTCTCCGAGTATGTTTCAATTTTTAATATATAATTTACTTATATTAATTTATAAATTAAATTCAGGCGAATATTGAGTGTAAAAAGTGCAGATGAATTTTATTCAATTATGATGATTCTGAGCAAAGAAATGTTAGAATGCGGTTTTAAAGACGCCAACACGTTCATCAAAAAGGTTGTCGAATTTGGTCCCATAGAAAACTTACAAGAGCTGCGCGCTAAATACAATTACAACATGAAATGGACTCAATCTGTAAGGATACTTGTTTATGCATATTTATATAAAACTACACACTCTAATGAAAATTCATTACAATAAGGTTCAGCCTTCGCCTAGAGATCGCATCAAACTTTTCTATTCTGATGACGAATCGTATTCTGATTCCGAGCCGAACAGAATGGCTGTAACTGCGGCATATGGCTGGACATCAGGACAAAAATCAGCAAGAAAGAACTCACTGGGGTCACTCATGATGGACCCAGAACGTCTAACAATGGACATTAATGCGCTGAAACAACAATACTTGAAATTACGAGAGCGACAAAGGCAGGCGCATCTCATACTTACCGCGCGTGTGCCAGGCAAACAGTCGGTGAGTCAGTTGAACTTGTTTAAAAAAAAAATACAATCAAATTGACTTGAATCACTATATTTATTCTCTATATAATTCTAATTATTGTGTTTATTATTTTCTAGTTCCCTCAATATCGTCTCCGGCCAATCCAATAAACCACTTTTTGCTGGGTAAAAGCGCAATTTTGAACTCTCACGATCGACGTCGTCGCATTGGACTCGGAGGAGTCGGACCTGTTCCTCCAGCTCGTGTCGCCAAGTTGTCTATGAAAGCATCTCAAGGAGAAACTTTGTTGTGGAAGGACACCGACAGTAAACGACGTACTCTGACCAGAAGAGATTCTATTAAATGGAAGGATATTCCTAAAACAGACTCTACAAATACAAATAATAACGACATTAATTCCAAAAGCGTGTACGGTGATGATGATTTGTTAGCAGGGAGTTCCGAGAACTACAATAGCTACGTTCAAGATTTGCGAGGACAAAGTGATTCTTCCTCGTCTTACAGTGAAGAAAGCAGTACTTCAAGTACAAGTACGGAATTATGTGATGAACCTAATCGGTTAAGTGATTTTGATGCTGAACCGCTTTCAGTCGATGATGCCAATGAAAACCCTGTTTTAGATGCAAAAACAAGTCCAAAATATGATCCGTTACCAGAAATAAAAACCAGTCCCATTTGTGAAGAATTTCCAAAAACGACCTGCGAATTTCTTCGTGATCCTAGTAAAGAAAATATAAACGAAAGCACAGAAATAATAAATAGCAGTCTTCACAATTTATCCTCAGAATTAGATTCTAGTAAAATATATGAAAATATTCAAGAGAGTGATTTTAACTATCCACGGGATCTCAGTCAAGAACATTTAGAACAAGCTTCGGAAAGTAGAAAGTTGTTTGAGCCGAGTTTATGAATCGTCGTTAATCAGGAAACCATTTTTTTATCGTCATGATCTTAGCGAAGAAAATCTAAGTGAAAAGGCAGAAGCTATAGTTGCAAAAAGTAATATTACAGAAGAACACAATTTAGTAGAAATCAATCCTATTTACCAACCTGAATCACAATTTACCTGCTCTGATAATTGAGTACGATAAATTTAAGCGGAGAGTTTGAAAATAAACCAACACGAATTACTCTAGATATTGAGCAGTCTCCCGAAAAATGTTTTACATTTCTTCGTAATTTAAGTGATGAAAAATTAACTTTGAATTTAGATTTAAAAAGTGATTCTGCTTGCGAATCGTTATCGGGAACATATTTAACAAAAACCAGTCCGACTTACGAACCATCATTTCCAAAACATAGTCCATTATACGACGATTTACTTAAAAATAATTTATCTCGGGATCTCAGTGAGGATAGCATAAGCAGAAAAGATAAATTTGCATCTAATTTTGATTACTTACTAACATCCGAAAATGAAGTTAACGTTAATTCAAGTGAAGAGAATTTGTGTGAACGTAAAAATTATGTCACAGAAGCTGCTATTGAAAATATCGCGCAGACAATCCAGGAGAACAAAAATTTACTATCTCGTGTTACTGAAGATAGATTAAAAGAAAAAAGTCAATTTGATAAAAATATCGCCGCAACTGAACCCGAATCAACCAATCAAGACCTCGAAGTTTCAACATCGAGCTCTGTGACATTTGATAATCAACTTACAGAAAAAGATGAATTTTTAGTAAATGATACATTTTTAAGTAGTGTGGATCACTCATATTTTTTGACAACAGAAGCTTAACAGAAAGTACTTCTGATCAGAATTTTCAGTTCTGTGTTCTTTGCCAAGAATCGGCGTGCACTTGTTCCGAGAACACTGTGCAGAATACAGGGAAAAAACATAGTGAACGAGCCTTACAAATTATTGAAGAGAATTCCAAAATCTTACACAGGATATCTAGGTACAACATAGAAAATACATCAGCGTTGAATTTTCCTCATTTAACAGACTTTTACAGTATAAAATTAGGTGACAACCGAAATCCGTCGGATTTGAGTGACGACCAGGTTGGCGATGCAAGTCAAAATTCAATTTGTCTATCCAGAAGTAATAGCAGGTACGACTTAAATTTTTCCAAGTATGTTACCACGACTGAACCCCGTTTGACGTTTAAGAATTATTTTATAGACAAAGAGAAACTTTCGCCTATATATCGGTTGAACAGTGAAGAAAAAAAATATTTTTAATATTACAAATAGTGCCAATATTAATGACGTTGTGAGT